GAAAATAAGGCCAAGTGCTTATTTCAGGGGTCAAAAGAAAATAAGACCCTGTCTAATTTTGGGGGAAACACGGTATCTATAGAAGAGGCTCCCTTAAATTTGCTTCAAATTTCCAGCCTCAAGCTCATGAGCACCTGGTGGCTTGCAAGTTATAAGAAAATATTTCCCTAAGTCATGCGATTGTTCTAATACATAGACCTACTCTTAGTCTGTTGTTCTTAAAGTTACTGTTAAAAAAAAATCAGTTTAGATTACTAACTCTCTTGAGGGCCACATTTGCAGGAAGATGGAACATAAATCAAAATGTAAATAATAAACAAGCTAGCAAGTCAACTGAGAACTGACATTTGTGCCAGAAAACGAGTTTTTCACTTTGTGAGCAGCTGCTCTTGGATGCTAAATCACACAATGTGATTCAGAGCAACATTCTGGATATTACAGTATTTTAAAGTTGTTAATAGGCTGTACGTTTAACTCCTTTGAATCTATTCAAAAATTTGTGAAAGAGCCTGTTTCTTAGCAAAGGAAAGCCTCTATAGCCATATAATATCAGTACCACACACTTTATTTATTGTTCTAGGAGTCTATGGAGATTCTCAGTCATCCAGGTCACAGTTATCCCAAAGGTTATTTTCCAAAAGACACCTGGACTTTGTTGTTGTTGTTGTTGTTGTTGTTGTTGTTGTTGTTGTGTGTGTGTGTGTGTGTGTCTGTGTGTGTGTGTGTCTGTGTGTGTGTGTGTGTGTGTGTTTTACTATTTTGCTTTTTATCCAAGAAGCTTCTTTAGTTCCTCATGAAGAAGCTTCTTGGATGAGAAGCGGAACATTTTCAAAAAATGTTCAAGAAAGTTCCGTTTCCTTTTGGAAAATAATCTTTGGGACATATTGTTCCAGTAATTTTACTATTGTTACCTTGTTTTTGTACAACTACCACCAAGTTTTAATTGTGTTATTACCATGGGTGCTTCAACGCTGTTGTTGACTGTCAGGATTATGGCGGGGTATAAAACCCAAAATAAATTAAACGTGCACTAAATGCAAAATTTTACCATTTCTGATTTTTCAAATCATTACCATTTGTCCTCGAATGCCAGGAGGACCTGTGTTGCCTTGTGGTCCCGGAGAACCAGGTGGACCTGGTAAGCCATGAGGACCTGAAGTTCCTGGAGATCCCTGTGAGATACATTGATGTGGTCAACAGTGTCCATGGCATGGAATATAAAGCCTTAAAATGTGTATTTGCTTAAGTCAATTACTTACTGAAGGTCCTTTTGTACCTGTGGAACCATCTGTACCTAAAGCACCCTGAAACAGCACAAATCAGACACGTATTAATACAATTGTATTAATATTAATACAATTTCATCAAACATGGCTATTCCTATGTACCAATTTGACTGAAATATCACATGCAAATATCAAGTTCTTATGTATCAAGTGATTTAATTTCTGAACAATATAGATTGGAGGCAGCTGTTTCATATCAATTCCAGTTAGTCAGAGTCTAGAATTTTGTGTATATCTATCCTTTCCATAGGCAACTACCCTAAAGCCATGTACTAAAAATATTAAGAATCTTTAAGATTCTGACCCAGCTTCAGTTATTCAAGCTCAGTTAAAGAGGAACAAATTTATTATTAAATAATTTCTTGTGGGATAGACTTCGAAAAAGTTCCATCAGAAAAATGCTTAAACATTAAGGTGCCACAAAATCTTTTATATTTTCCACTGAAATATGAATTAAAGGTGCTATTTGCTTAAAACTTTCATAAAAGAAGTAATAAGAATTAAATACAACAAACAAGCTTTGCATACATATTGAAGAAATACGTTCTCAAAGGTAAGTAGGTAAGGGTACATCTTTCAGATAAGATGCTTTAAGGGATACAAGTAGTTCTTGACTTGTGACCTTAATTGACCCTGCAATTATGGTCCTAACATACGCTAATTGTGGCAGTTTTTTGTGGCAGTGAATATGGTGACTGTAGAGAAAACACAATAAGTGTTGTTGTTTTTTGTTGGCAAATGGAAGTGATTGCTGCTATCTGGAAAAAAAAATGTAAATTATGAACATCTGACCATAAGATGCTGCAAACTTCTCTAAATGAGGCGGGTTGCTGAATGCCCAAAATGCAAGGGTGTGTGTGTGTCAGAACTAATGAAGGCAGTCAATACCTTCTTTGGGTTCCATTGTAACCAAACAATCACTAGGCTGTTGGTAAGCAAGGACTACTTGTAAAGTAGGTGTTTAAAATATCTAGATGTCTTAATGTCTTAAGATGTTTCCCAACCAAAATGCAAGCAGTTTCAGGCTTTTGGAACTTGCCTATTCTGGGGAACTCTTACAGATTTTTGGAAAACTGTAACTTTCAAGCAATTCCTACAAGGTAAAAGAACGTCAGAAAATTTCATCTGGTCTACATTTTTAAATAAACTGACTTATTTCATACTTGTGCGCACAGCAATTTGGATCAGAATACTTATCCTTCAGATTCCCTATTTCTCTAGAATTTGTGATTTAGTTCCAAGCAGAAAATAAACCATATCAAAATGCATCCATATGGAAAGTATCATGAAAAAGCATATAGGATGGAAAGATACAAAGAAAACACATATTGGCTGATGTATAATTTTCCAGCCAATACACATATATCTGACTATCCCAAGCAAAGAAATCATTGTACCATTGCTTTAAGCTACATATTGCAAAAGTAGATTTTTTAAAACTTTTAAGCATTTTCTGACTACCTTGACACTGTGACTAGACACAGAAGACGATATCCCCTGTTATATCAAGAACTGGGATATGCTAAGCGATCTCTTTTATAACTTGTGCTTCAGTTTATGTGATTACAACCAACTTTCTTTCTTTCTTTTTTACAATCCATTTCAGGTTTTGTGTGAATTATTCTCCGTATTCTTTTTTGTGAAGGCAATTTTCCATTTGCATGCTGTACTTCTATCTCTGTGCTTTTATGGATGATGCCTAGCAACCAGTCAGGGATGAATAGCTCCAAACATAATTTATGACAGTTTGAAAAACTTACAGGAAGACCAAATAATCCTGGGGGACCAGGGGCGCCCGTTTCTCCTCTTGGTCCTTGAGGACCTTCTGGGCCACGTGCACCTGTGGGACCAGCTTCACCCTGAAGTTTCACATTGAAAAAGAAAGTAGAAAATGCAATATTAATACTGACCATTAAGCCTCTCATTAACTGAAGGTGCTTTTCTTTTTAAAAGAAGTGCTTATTTAGACTTAGAATTGACATAATGCCATAGAGTTCCACCTCCTAGCTGTTCCTCATAGTTATCTGAATTGCCTAAGTAATTCTAAGTGTGATATACAATCTTACCCTGGTGCTAATGCAGTATCAAGTCTATCTGGATTTTATTTAAGAAATTATGGGTTCCCATTTTGTTTATTAGGCACAGAAATAAAGTGTCTTCAGCCCCATCACACAATCTGATCAAAAATTCATGCAGGCTCACATCTAGTCTGTGAATTCACCATATTAGGTGGGATTTTTTAAAAAAATACTAAAATTATTTTTCATTTTCTCTTGAACTGTTTTGTTTTGTTGTTTTATAAAATCATGTGACTTTTGAAAAAGTGAATTCAAGGCTTTTCCTTAGACAATGAGATAGTCTTTCATGAAATTAGTGTAATAGACAAACAACTATTTTATGGTTAAATGTAGTTGCTACCTTCTCTTCCTCATCTCCTCCTCCTCCTCCTCCTCCTCATCATCATCATCACTTTACACTCTTTCTTTCTTTCTTTTATTTATTTTGGCTGCTAAAGACCACAGGGAGGATATGTGACACCATAATCACAAGGGTGGGAGGAAGCTGAGATAGAATTGATGGCTCTTTTTGAAGAATGACCTTTGCATAGTAATTTGTCTAATTAAAATAGGCATGAGAAACCCATTGGAGACATTGTAATTAGACACTGTTTGGTTTTAAAAAAAACATATAAAAACTGCTTTGCTATTCAGTGTTTTACAATAAAAGTTTGGCATGATGATATTGAAAGATTCCTGGAACTACAAAACTGGGAGCCACGTAAGGCTCATATGCTCTATCTACTGTATTCATATACAAATCATGTAAATCACATGCAATTAATAAATAAATTGGATATAGGATATTATGGATTTTTATGGCAATTGTTAATATAATTAAATATCATTCTACTGATCTGTAAAACTGAGGGACTTGCCTCCAATTTAAAAAAAACAGGAAAGTCATGCCATGTCCTGTTAAATTTTGGGCTTACTTTATTATACATTTTTAAAGAAATTGTTTGATTCACTGAATTACGGCATTGGCAATTAAGTGAAAACTGTCAACTGTAAATATATAATGCATTTATTGAACTTATTAGTTTTATCCTTTCTCTCCAAGGCCATGCTTAACTAATGCTTGTTATGTTGCATAGGTTTTCATCATTTCAAGGCACGGAAAACAACTATTATTACACTATTCCACAAAAATATATTTGTACTTCTTTCCTTCACATAACAGAGATAAAGAATGTCTAGGACAAGGGACATAAAAATAATTGAAAGCAAATCCAAGAACTTTAACTACATGATATAAGTGACCAAATCCTACCACTATTGCCAGAAATTTGCCTCAGAAATTTAGCCCTTAAAAATTCTCAGAGGCAGCAAAGAAGAATGAAACAAAAGTTTATCCTCAGCTCATCTTACAGCCTGCTTTACTCAGGAGTCTTCTTTAATAATCAAAAATAGTGCAAAACACAATCTGGAAGAAGTTATGGCTATAGTCTCATTTTTCATTGTACATTCTCAGAAAAATGCTTTACAGCACAAATGCTAGTCTCCTCCAGGTCAAAGCTCAACTTTTGGTGACTCCATAAACACATTGTTTCCTTGGTAAGAATACAAAAGTGATTTACATTTCTTTCCTCCCTTTTTTAATTAAAAAAAAACTTCCTTATCCACTCTATAACCCTGTAGTTTTCTTGTGTTCTTCCTATCTGTTTCTAACAAGAGCTGACTTTGATTTTCAAGACCAACTAACATTTCCTAGATCTAATGGAGGAACCTCAACTGTATGACACTGCCTTGGCCTATTTCAGGGCTTCTCAACCTTGTTAAATTTAAGATATGTGGACTTCAACTCCCAGAATTCCCCTGTCAGCATTCCCAAATTCCAAGAGTTGAAGTCCATGTGTCTTAAAATTTCTGAGGTTGAGAAACAGTAGTCTAGATAATGGCCAGGTTGCCTTTTCTATCACAACAGTTTGTTATGCTCCGCGTGAGGTTCTGTACTCTGCAAGGAGTAGACACAACACAGCATAGCAAATCTGTACACAATACAGGTGGTCCTCGACTTCCGACCACAATTTCTGTCGTTAAGTGAGATATTTGTTAAGTGAGTTATGTCCTACTTTATGACTTTTCTTGCCACAGTTGTTAAGGGAATCATTACTGTTGTTAAGTTAATAACATGGTTATTAAGTGAAACTGGCTTCCCCATTGACTTCCCTTGTCAGAAGGTTGCAAAAGCTGATCACAGGGCGCTGGAACAACAGAACCGTCATTAATGTGAATCAGTTGCCAAACATCTGAATTTTGATGATGTGACCATGGGGATGCTGCAACAGTGATAAGTCACTTTTTCANAGAAGAAGAAGAAGAAGAAGAAGAAGAAGAAGAAGAAGAAGATTATTTAAATGTATAGCATAGGATATGCAGAAATCTGATAAAATTATAATAATGATAATGATAATCACCATATGATACATTTTTTCACAACATTATTTATTCTAGTTAATCAAAACTATACTATATAAAATATGCAAACAAATCAAACAAATTTTAAAAGTGAATGCTTGCCATGCAGATATTTAGAAACCAACCATCTCACTTATTTAAATACTGGAAAACAAGCACATTGCAAAAATGACATTCTTCCTCCAGTTAAAAACTGAGAAGGAACAGGGATAAAAACCACTTTTCTCTGAAATTCACAAACAAAATTACATTTTGCCAGATGATATTTATGGATATGGATAAATTTGAGGGTTTTTTTATAATATTGATATGACTTGACCATATCAGACCAAGTGTCCCATATTTCCATTATTTAAAATTGTTTTGCTCTTCTGAACTTTATATAATATTTTTCACTATAAAAACTCATTTGAATCACTCTAGGAAGTTCAGATCCTATGGTATTAGTTCAAATGTTAGTGACTCTAGCAAGAGTTTTTGGATTGTCATTGGAGGAAGTTGCTAATTGGATCCAAATTATTCTAAAACTTTTTTTTCCTTGTGATGAATTATCGAAAAAATGGAAAAGTGAAATATGCTATTTTTTCTTTACTCTTGAAGTAAAGATAATGCCTTTTTAAAAATCTGATAAGATTTTTCTGCAAAGCAACAAACTAGAATAGCAACGAGTTAGAAATATAGCACCACTTTCCTTTGAAAGGACTAAAGACAAGATCTAAACCAGTGGTGGGATTCAAAACTTTTTATTACCAGTTCTGTGGGTGTGGTTTGGTGGGCGTGGCGTGGCTTGGTAGGCATGGCAGGGGAAGGATACCGTAAAATCTTTATTTCCACCCCATTCCAGAGGAAGGATACTGTAAAATCTCAATTCCCTCCCCACTCTAGGGGAAAGTTACTGCAAAATCCCCATTCCATCCCGATCAGCTGGGATTCAGGCGGCAGAGAATAGATGGGAGCAGGGCCAGTTAGAGATAGCATTTACCGGTTCGCTGAACTACTCAAAATTTCTGCTACCGGTTCTCCAGAACTGGTCAGAACCTGCTGAATATCACCTCTGACAACCATTGTTTGCCACCATAGTTTGACTTCTTTTAGATATTCTATTTTCAATGCAAACTAAACAGGGCTATTCCGAAGATAGCTTACCAGTAAACTACTGAGATTTTTTTCCTTATTATTCTTACCCTTTCTCCAACAGTTCCAGGAATACCAACTGATCCTGGATCACCACGAAGACCTCTTTTCCCTTCTTCACCCATAGGTCCAATTGGTCCTTGGAGGCCATGGGGACCCTAGTGAAAAACATTTGCACTTATAAAGAAAATGAACAAAACCATCATTTAATCATGCTGCCATTGACACAAGAAAAATACAGATGCCTCATTTCAAATCCAATTATATTTCTTGAAGAAGGTTTTGAAAAATATATCATTTCTGCAAACAGAAATGTTTTAATGTTGTTGGGTTTTTTGCTTGTGTACATTCCAAAAATATAACTGTTCTAGAAACAGGCCAAATTGCATTAGTAGAAATTAATTCTGCAATTAGTTTTCAATATTAACTGAATGATTGAATAGTAAATACTAATTGAACTAGTTAAGGGTTGACCTTGACAAATAGTTTATTAGGTGAATATGAATAGTCTAATATTGTAGATATTTATGAAATAGATATAAACAACTCTAGTTTACCTCCACAGCAGTTTGCAGATGAGACAGCAGTAATGTCATGTGGACATATCCTTTAAACATTGTTACCAATCAATTGTACCTTACTGCACAGAAAGTGGGAAATTATGATCACTCCTTCGTTATATTACCACGTATTTTCCCGAGAAAGGAAGAATTATTTTGTTTGTGTTTTTTAAAATATTTGTTCAAATCACCCCTTTAAATCAAATAAAAGTTTAAAGAGAAAAAAGAAACTTTAAGTTTCATTTTATTTACTTAAAATGAAAAATTGTATTCCTCTGCAATATGAAGAAGTCAATGGAACCGCACAATTAATATTTAAAGTTTGCAACTAAGATCAGGGAGAGTCATATTAAAATCCAGCTTCAGGCACAGAAAGTTACTAGAGGATTTTGAACCACTCACTTATCCCTCTGCTCAAACTACTTCACAAGTTGTAGAAAAAATGGGGGGGGGATGGATTGCTTTTTTTTGTCACCCTGAGAAACCTATAGTTCTAATAAAGATAAAGATAAAAGTTTCCCTTGCACATATGTGCTAGTTGTTCCTGACTCTAGGGGGTGATGCTCATCTCTGTTTCAAAGCCCAAGAGCCAGCACTGTCCAAAGACATTTCTGTGGTCATGTGGCCAGCATGACTAAATGCCAAAGGCAAATAGAATGCTGTTACCTTCCCAGCAAAGGTGGTCCCTATTTTTCTACTTGCATTNTAAGCAAACAGAATTTTGTCTGAACTGAGATTTAACCAGTACAGTACAAGCCAAGTTTCAGAAACTGGTACTAAACTCTTGTTTGGATCTGTAATTTTAGAAATAAAGCAGAATGTGTAGTCTTTCTATAATGTTGACTCTTTCCAAAAAAAAAAATCAAAATCCTAGCAAACAGGAGAATCAATCCAGACCTAGATCATGAGAAATAAATTAACCAAGGGTTCTGTCAATTCATTCATTTCTACATGTTCTTAAAATTGGAGTCCCTGGTAGAGTTTATTCCTTTTTTTTCCCAAAATCTGAATGTGATAAACTGCTATCATGTTACCCAAACTCCTTCTTTTCATGTCTAGTTTAATGAAAAGAAGAACTGGGGGTGACATGATAGCAGTGTTCCAATAACTCAGGAGTTGCCACAAAGAAGAGGGAGTCCATCTATACACCAGAAGGCAGGACAAGAAGCAGTGGATGGAAACTAATCAAGGAGAGAACCAACCTAGAACTAAGCAGATTTTCCTGACAGTTAGAACAATTAATCAGTGGAACAACTTGCCTGCGGAAGCTGTGAATGCTTCAACACTGGAAGTTTTACAGAAAAGATTGGACAACCATTTGTCTGAAATGGTATAGGCCTTCCTGTCTGAGCAGGGTGTTGGACCAGAAGACCTCCAAGGTCCCTTCCAACTCTGCTATTCTGTTAAACAGTTCGTGGTTGCAAGAATTGGATATGTCTAGTTTGACAAAAAGAAGAACTAGGGGTGAGATGATAGCAGTGTTCCAATATCTAAGGGAATGCTCCAAAGAAGATAGGTCAACCTATTCTGCAAAGCAACTAAAAGTAGAAGAAGCAATAGATGGAGACTAATCAATGGAAGACACAACCTAGAACTAAGGAGGAATTTCCTAACAGTTCGAACAAATAATCAGTGGAACGGTTCATAACATCAGAGAAATAATTTCTAAATAAAGAGGCTTTAATTGTGAGCAATCATCTTTCCTTCTGCCATTCTCACTATGGTATCTGTCCAAGTATGTGTGTCCCCCTTCGAGTCAGTGTTGACTCCTTGGGACTGCCTGGACAAATTCCTGCAGTTTTCTTGATAAGATTTCAGAAGTGGTTTCCCCTTGCCTATTTCCCAGGGCTGAGAGAGAGCAACTAACCAAGTTCACCCACCTGTCTTGGCCTCTAAAATGGGATTAGAAGTCACAATCTTCTGCTTTGTAACCTGATGCCTTAATCACTATCCCAAATTGGCTCTTTTACCAGTTGTGTGAAGATAAAGTATCTTACAAGTTGAGCTCTGTTCCTGATATCTAAATGGACCTATATATGCTTGTTTCTTAGCAGCAACGTTGAAAATATACACCATCAACTTCTGTAAGTTTTTAGAAGTCTCTAGCTTGGATCTCCTGTTAATTTTGTATTCAAGTACTAAGTCAGTCCATTTCAGAATGGTTCTTGAGATGAGGCTGACCAAAGGCTACCATCTAACTGTATATTCCATCACCGATTAATAAAATTTTTAAAAAAACTACTTACCTTCATGCCAGGTATGCCAGGAAAACCTGATGAACCAATTATACCGAGAGGACCCTATAAAGAAGAGATGTTGAGCATCAATGAGAAATACCCTAAATATTCTAGCAAGAGCATGAATTAAAACAGTTCTCATTGTGAAAGGAAGATTTAAGGAGCAACATACCACCAGTATATAGAAATAAAATGCTTATTTCATGCACACCTTTCCTGTGGAAAAGTAATGGTGAGATTTTGACTATAATTTTATTACTAATATTTAACAATGGAATGGAATGGTATATTGTTTCATGCCAGGAAATGTTCTGTGCATGGAATGATTAGCCTCGGGTCAGATGTGGGTAACATGTTCATTGGATTCTTTTTTTCACATTTCTTTATGAATGAATGAATGTAGACTTTTTTAATGTGGGACAAAGTGAAACTGACAGATCTCTCTACTAACGATTTAACTCTGTGAATCTGCATTCAATTATATCTGCAGTATTGGATCAAGATTGTCATCTACTTTTATCCAATCAATTTCTGATCTTTGAACAACCAGGCACACAGAGAAAACAGCCTGGTTGCATTCCATTTTGAGAACTACTGCAGCTTCCAAATTTGGATGATAAAGAAGGAAAGTAAGCATTTTTCCTGTTAATTTCTGTAAAAGAACTTGACAACATTCACCCATTTATTTAGGGGCAAAACAGAAAGATGTGATATTTTTAAAAAATGATTGCAAAAGAAAGTGAAAATGACAGATTTATCTACCCCAATCCTCTTCTCTCAGAATGACAACAAATGATTTTGAACATTAATGCTTTCTGCCTAAGTATAACAAACTGTCACTGCTGTGTAAAATAATACTGATACTAAAAGTGAAGGCCATATAACTTCACTAATCTCAAGAGAGTGAAAGTCCCAAAGTTGCACAGATTATAATGCAAAATTTCATAGAACTAAGAAAGCATTAGATGAATCAGTTAGTCTGAATATTAAGGGGGGAAATCCTGAAATTTCACAACAGTTTACAGCATGCCATCACACAGTTTGATAGCGTAAAGCAATAGCAATAGCACTTAGAATTACATACTGCTTCATAGTGCTTTTACGGCTCTCTCTAAGCCGTTTACAGTGTCAGCATATTGGCCCCAAAAAGCTGGTTCCTCATTTTACTGACCTTGGAAGGATGGAAGACTGAGTCAACCTTGGGCTGGTGAGAATCGAACTGCTGAACTGCTGGTAGTCAGCAGTCAGCAGAATTAACCTGCAATACTGCATTCTAACAGAAATGTTACCCATTTCTGACCTGAGGCTACTCATACCTTCCCTACACAAGTTAAAAGGAGACAGAATTTGACCATTCTCTTTAAATATTTCACTTCCTCAAAATAGACTTAGTGACTTTGAATTTTATGGTGCTTGAATGTCAGTCAAGTCAAGTTACAGAGAGGCAACTTTAGTACCATTCAATGCTTGCAAAGCTGCTACAAAGTTCCATCCAAAGAGTAGAGTTGTAAATGAAATGTCACATTACATGTTGTCTTGAATGAAGAATTGGACATCAGTGACATTAAAAGAAATTATTGTAACTGCATATCACTCCAAGACAATGTAGTCCAAGGAAAATAATCAAACATGTACAACATACTAGCCAGTTTAACTTGAATATAAGTATTTGACAGTGTCTATTCCACTATTCATTTTTTTCTACAAAAAATAATATCCTTTTTTTAAAGAATATAATAGAATTGCCATAGTGAAAACATCTGTAGCTCGGGTGTAGGATGAGGGTAAAGGTTCATTCTCCAAGCTTGTGGATTGGTTTAGGAACATTTCATCACCAGGCTAGGTAACATCTTCAGCAGAGTTTAGGGAATGTCAGTTTCAGTGTTCTTCTGTTTATAAGAGCTTCAGATGTGGGTGTGTCAAGTGAGGGCTTTGTGATGGGTCAGCTACAAGTCATCAGTGAGTCTTGTGATGGGTCTTGTGATGGGTTGGTCATTGGGAGGTGAACTGCTGGTGATGGAATTGGTTGAGGGTCAGTGCTTTTCTCTGGTTAGCTGTGCAGTTGATTTGGATCCGGAGGAGTTTGTAGGCTGGTTGAAAGTCAATGTGTCTGTTGATGGAATTGCTTGTGGAGTGCTAGCCTTATATGAACTCATGAGCGTGGCAGGTGGTAGCGTGGCCGATGATTTTTGTGTTGCTCCAATTGAACTGATGCTGTTTGGTGTTGGTGTGGGACTAGATTAAGGATTTGGGATCGTGGCATTTGACTGCCAGCCGGTGTTGGTGGATCCTGGTTTTTTAGTGATGTGATGTTTGTCCCACGTAGAACTCATTACAATGGTTACAGTTGATTTTCTAGATTACATTGTTTATTTTATCCTTCTGTATTTTGTCTCTGGATAATTCCTAGAATGTTTTATCTGGTGCATAAGCTCTCAGTGTCCATACAAGCAATAAGTGATCATAATTATAATCATAAAATACAATCATCATAAATCATGATGCAAGACTCATTGATAGTCATAGGATACTAAATAAACAAACAACATAAATCATAATAAGATACTAAATAAAGGCAATCCACATAAATCATGAGATACAAACCACAATGTTATATGACTATAATTAGGTAATAGGAAAGATGAAAAGATAATAGCTAATACAGCCCTATTAGGTGGTTTGACATCCTATGGCATAGACAGTGTTGTAGGAATTAGTTGTTTAGCAGAATGTTTAGCAGGGGCAAATAGTCCTATGTAGTTCCATAGGTCCATTCTTATGGCCTCCAAATAATGGAAAGATTTCTGTTTGGGTTTTATAATACGTTTTATGTGTTTGGCTATTCTGAACAGATAAGTTGCTTAAGCAATCTGTGGACAGTGTTGTGTTGCAATCATAAACTTTTCCAAATCCTTTCAAATGTTCACCAGTCCCCTGTGATTTCTTTTCCTTTTCCTTGGCTGACTGGGTTCTTCTTGCAGAACAAGATGCATTCTCCAGTATAAAATATTGTCCGGAGTAAAGGATGTGTTTCCTGGCAATCTTAATAAGAAGAATGATCTGTTCCAGAAATGATTGGCTATGGGAAAATTATTTGGTTTCTAGCCTTGCATTGAAATTTATCCCTGCAAAATTTCATCTTCTTTCAAATGATTAGTCATTTGTGTCTTCCTTTAGAAAGTTGGAGGCAAAAAACACAATCCACACACAAAGGGGAATTGCAGAAAGACAAAGGATTTGGGGGAATAACAACAATGATGACATCTTAAAAGAGAAATGGAAAACAGAAACAACATGGCAAATTTAATCGACTGGGTGCCAGATTAGATAAAATACTGTATATTAGGCAGAACATGGTGGCTCAGTGGCTAAGATGCTAAGCTTGTTGATCGAAAGGTCGCAGTTCAGCGGTTCGAATCCCTAGTGCCACGTAACAGAGTAAGCCCCCATTACTTGTTCCAGCTTCTGGCAACCTAACAGTTTGAAAAGACATTAAAAATACAAGTAGAAAAATAGAAACCACCTTTGGTGGGGGTTTGGGTAACAGTGTTCCATGTGCCTTTGGGATTTGGTCATGCCGGCCACATGACCACAGAGATGTCTTTGGACAGCGCTGGCTCTTCGGCTTTGAAATGGAGATGAGCATCTCCCCCTAGAGTCAGGAATAACTAGCATATATGTGCGAGGGGAACCTTTACCTTTACTTTACTGTGCATTAGTTGAACCCTGTGGCCTATAGTCAGGACAGATTCCTAAACTAGAAATCTAGAACATCTTACCATTTTTCTACTGAGATTTACACACCTTCACATCAAAAAGAATACGTCTTGAAGCAAGATTAAAGATAGGCCTGACTTGAATGCTAATGTTGCATGTTTCAACCATATGAATCATACATTCAGCTAACATCCATGGCAGGGATAGGCTGCAGTGTTTGATTAGGCTTTTTTTAGTGTACTGTATTAACAATGAAATCTTTTTTTCATCTCTGGGTGCTGCCATGACCAAAATTCCTGGGCACAACTTGGACACAATGGAGAAATACAATAGCAATAGCAATAGCAGTTAGACTTATATACCGCTTCATAGGGCTTTCAGCCCTCTCTAAGCGGTTTACAGAGAGTCAGCATATTGCCCCCAACAATCTGGGTAATTTGCAGGAGGCGGTCTCTCAAGTACCCAGATCCACTAC